TCCTTCTCTTCTTTATAATATTTTATTAAAACAACTTAATTTTAAAATAATTTTTTTCATAATCTTTAAGAGATAAGAGGAATAAACACTAATCCATTATTATAATTAATTATATTATATCTTAATTTTTATATCAAAAAATTTATTTTTCTAAACTAAACTGAGCTATATTTTGATTAACTATCCAAATTTATTTTTGAGATTTTTTGAGATAAGTGGCAACCAAAGAGCCCTAAGAGTTTGGAACACAAGGACTTCCCATCCAATCCAAGTATTAACTCCATGCAATCACTAAAAACTTCTGAATATTTAAGAACTCTTACTAAAATAAAGGTGATGTTATTAAGATAATTATTTTATTTTATTTTATTGTATAATTTTTATATTTTTTAAATAAATAAATACATTTAATATTATAAATTTTTCATAAATTAAAACAACCAATCATTAAAATAAAACAAAATAATTACTGTAATATCATTTCCCTTGAAATAAAACTTCATTTTCATATGCGATGATAACTTTGGAAAATCCTGGATATGAATTTCGATAAATTAATAATCTGAAACATGGGTTTACACAGTAGATTCGAAACACCTGAAAACTCCTGGGAAAGGACAGTAACCTGGGAAGTGGAGGAGCAATCATGTGCAATTGATGCGCAGTGATTCCACCTTGAAAACCGTTGGATGGTCCAATTGTCAACGTGGCGACAACCCAGAGGTATGAAGCTGAAGTTTCACATGGAGGCAAACCCATGGAAACATTCTCTTTTAATTACCAGTTCCAATGTTTTGATTCCCTGTCTCCGTCTCCATGCAGCCGTCTGTTTTGTCTGTCTCTGGTAACCGAACTTTTAAATTCGAGAAAAACAGAGCAGACTTTTATAGAGAGAAAGAGAGAGAGAAACACCGGAGTTTTTAGAGAGAGAAAGGGATGACTGTGATCGACTTGATCACCAGGGTTGATGCGATCTGCAAGAAATATGAAAAGTACGACGTCGATAAGCAGAGAGAATCTAACGTCGCCGGCGATGATGCTTTCGCTCGCCTTTACGGCGTCTTCGAGACCGAAGTCGACGCTGCCCTCCAGGTAATTTCTATGTTGGTGGGGTTAAAAAAAGTTTTTACTTTTTCTGGTTCTAACCAAAACGGTGGATGAAATTCATGGGTTTTGATTGTTGAATCAATTTGGTTTCAGTGATTAATAGGGAATTTTGTTATGGTGCAGAAATCGGAAGCTGCGGTTACGGAGAAGAACAGGGCGACGGCGGTGGCTATGAATGCAGAGATACGAAGAACAAAAGCTCGATTGCTTGAGGAAATCCCAAAATTACAAAGGCTTGCTTTAAAAAAGGTTTGCCTTTATTTTGCTTTCCTTTGTGAGTCTCTGAATTGGTGAATAATCGTGGTTTTTAATTTATAAAACAGGTGAAGGGGCTTTCAAAGGAAGAGTTTGAGGCTCGAAGTGATTTGGTTTCTGCACTTAAAGAGAGAATTGAAGCCATTCCAGATGGATCAACAACTGCAGTTAATCAAACTCAAACCGGCAGTTGGGTAGCTTCAACCTCAGTCACCGGAATTAAATTCGACTCTACTTCAGGTAATGATATCATATGTTTTTTAGTACTAGGATGATTTATGATGTTTCATAGTGTTGGATGTTAGCATAAAGAGTGTCCTGATTGACCTGTATACTTGAATTTGGATTTAAATTATTAGATGGAAGATTTGACGGTGAATACTTTCAACAAACTGAGGAATCAGACAGGTTCAGGCAGGAGTATGAAATGCGCCGCATGAAACAGGTAATTCTTTTGTGCTTTCCCTGGATATATAGCCTGCATTTAACATCATGCTGGCTGAGATTAGTTGATTTTAATATTCTGTGCAGGATGAAGGTCTGGATGTGATAACAGAAGGTTTGGACACATTGAAGAATATGGCTCATGATATGAATGAGGTTTGTTCATTTACTATGTATGGTTGAGTTATTTCTGGTATAAAAACTGATCTGAAATCAGACACTGAAATCTAAATTTTATTTTTCTAATTTGACAGGAATTGGACCGACAAGTACCACTAATGGATGAAATAGATGAAAAGGTGATTTCCCTCTTTTTCTTTGCTTCTTTAATCTTATGGAAGGATGGCACTAATACAAAGCATTATGTTCATTCTATATGAAATAGTGTTCAGATATCATGTTACTAGTTGATTTTGTTCGTTTTTATTTCCAGGTTGACAAAGCTACCTCGGACATCAAAAACACTAATGTTAGACTTAAGGATACTCTAAACCAGGTAATTCAAATTCTCTCATTCCATCTCATTTTTCTCCGATTCACTTTATCCCCATCATCTTTTCCCTGATTTATCTGTTCTGTTTTTCAATTTTATCATTGCAGCTGAGATCAAGTCGCAACTTTTGCATTGATATCATTCTCTTGTGCATAATTTTAGGAATAGCTGCCTACTTATACAAGTAAGTTCTCTTTCCTGCTAAAGGGTATTGGCTAGCATTGGTATACTGCTCAAAAACTCAATCCTCATGGCTAAAAACAACTCTTGGGAAACTTCTGAACTTAGATAGTCAAATCACCTTCGTTTTAGCTTATGAAAATGATTCCTAGTAGGTTTTTCGCTGTTGTTCCCCTTGCATTACCGTGGTTTCTCTAGCTTTTTGAATGGTGAATTTAGTTTCTGAAATCTTTTGTTTCTCTGTGACATGCAGTGTTTTGAAGTAAAGTTGATGGGACCAGTTCCATGATCATCTCTCACGACATATGGGTTTTCCACAGCTTCATTGACTTCCTCAATGTATCAGCTCAGTATTCTTAGGTTTTACCAAAAATTACTTAGTATTTTCAGGTATAGTTTATATGTGAGTGTGAAATACAGATACTATAAGTTATTAACTGAAAGCATTGAGCATTTCAGATTTTCCTTAATATAAGCACTTTTTTTTTCTTTTGAAAACAGTGAAGAGTAAGATTTTTCTTGTGTTGATTCAATTAACGATATTTTGGCCAATGAATTGAACATAGCATCATCAAATGAGTAAAAGCATATTGATTTATATAATTATTAAATAAAAACAATCAATCACATAATAATACTTTGCATATTTGGCTTCTAGTCACATTACATAAAACATTGTAGCGTGGTGCTATAGAGATAATTTTTTTTATCTTACCTTTTTATACAAATTTTACATGTTATTAAATGAGTAGATGCATTCAATATCATAGTCTCACATGAATTAAAAGAATCAATTATTTTAATGGCATATCAAAGTATACAAAAATATGAAATAAAAAAGTTGCACAAAAAATATTTCTCAACATTGTAAAGAAAACTATTATACTTCAATTATTTTCGAGTATCAGATTAATAAAGCTCTTCAACATGAATTACCCAGCAAAGAATTTTTCCCTTTATTTTTTGGATGTAGTTATTACCGCTATGAAGATTGTTAAAGCTACTAAAATTTTAGATTTGTTTCCTTTAACATGAAATTACCTTGGGGCAAGAATTAATTTTCTTCTTTTTTATTCAGGTGTTGTTATTGCCACCAAAAACAGTTATTATGATTATTAAAATTTTGCAGTTATTTCTTAAACGAAAATATCAATTTATTGACAAGTTTTAATTTAATATTTAATAAATATTTATTGTTTCATTAGTTATTAATTAATTAATTAATAATTATGCATATGGCCCTTTGAGCCTAGTGGCATTAGCCCCATTGAATAGGTGCACTCCCGCTCCTTTGGTAGGTTCAATTCCATCTCATATCAAATTGTTCAAAAAAAAAATTAATAATTATAGTTATTAGTCATTTTATTAATAAAATTAATATTTCTAAAAGTAAAATTTTATAATTTTAGTAATCACTATTTCATCATATAACTATATTGTTTTATAGTTTGAACGAAACCTACTAAACTAGGGGATTAATAAGTTAGAAGTAGTGTCAGGATTTATATAATTCAGTTGTCATCTTCTTTCATTGAAAGTAAAGGATTTTGAATTCAAGTCGCATGACATGTGAATGAATTGAGATAAGAGATTTAAAATAGTTGTCTTTCATTATACAACAAAAAAAAAAATTAGAAGTAGAAATCAATTTTTCTTTCTTTTAAAATTAAATAATATGTTACACAACAAAAAATAAAACTTTTTTTTATTGATCTTAAAATTTTAAATTTTAAATTTAAAACATGAAAATTTAATCTCTTCATCAAAAGTAAAGTAGAAATCGACCGTTGAACAATCTTGGTTATGATCATCACAAGTACGGCTGGATTCTTTGTTATCCAACGTTGTCTGTCTTTTGGGATTTTATCTAAGAAACAACAAAATGTTAAATAAATTAGGCCTGTTTGGTTCTCTCCCAATAACAGAATGCTTCGCGCGCAAAAAATTTCATGACTTTCTTATGTTATGTTGATATACTCCGGGGAATGAAATTTTCGTTTTATATATTTAATTATACAAAAAAAAATGTTATTATTATTTTATTAAAGTAGTCAATTTGTAATTACCATAAGCTTTTGAAAATAGTGAATTGTACTTTAAATTAGTCGATTATAAGCTCACTTTTTCAATCAAAATAAATGAGTTATAGAATATTGTAAAATTAGATGGAAATAGGCACAATCTCTAGAATTTCACTAAAGATTTAATCTTAATTCTTAAGGGAGTGTTCGTTTTGAAGATACCTCAATTGGTTCTAATTAAATGGAAGCAAATTTTTTATAAAATTTTTTGTTTTGGTGTAGATATTCTGCTTTTAATTTAATTAAAAAATAGTTAATTTCAAGACTTATGTAAATTTGTTTAAAAATATTATGATTGTTCAAAAAAATTAATGGATTAAATACTTATAATTATAAATAATGATAATTATTAGTTGTTAGATATTAATTATTAACTATTTTTTATATTTCATAATAATTGTATTTTTTAAATTTTTTTCGAAATTAAAAAATTAAAAATTATTTATATACTTACCTATATTATCCTTAAAAAAAGTTTAAAATAATATTTCTTATGATAAGAGAATAAATCAAAACAAATGAATAATGATAAAATTAAAGAAAAATTGATTTATTTTACAAAATAAAAAATAATAATTAATTTAAAAAAAGTTTAAAATAATATTTCTTATGATAAGAGAATAAATCAAAACAAATGAATAATGATAAAATTAAAGAAAAATTGATTTATTTTACAAAATAAAAAATAATAATTAATTTATAATAAATTTAAATTAAATTAAATAATTATTTTAAAATAAAAAATCAATTGTATTTAAATATTTAATTTAAATATTCACTGAATTTATATTTAAAAATATAAATAAGTCTACCATTAAACAACGTTATTAATAGTTTTCATGCCGCTCTCCTCATCACTTTCACCGGCAATAATGAATATTATATTTTAGAAAGATATATATCCAATATAAAGATGTTATAGGAGCAATTTTTTTATATTATTTTTTGATATAATTTTTATAAGTAATTAAATAAATAAATATATTTAATATTATAAGTCTCATAGCAATAATGAATATTATATTTTAGAAAGATATATATCCAATATAAAGATGTTATAGAAACAATTTTTTTATATTATTTTTTGATATAATTTTTATAAGTAATTAAATAAATATATTTAATATTATAAATCTAATATAAATAAAAAAAATTAATTATTTAAATGACATATTAAAGTTATATAAAAAAATTATCATAAAATCATTTTCCCTTTTCCACCGTTGAGCATCCCCTAATTTTCTTGAAGTTGATGGACGGATTTTATTTGC